CATACATACAACTTAACAAGCATGCAATTAATATCAAACGAAAAAAAGGGTGTCCACACAGTAACGCCGAAAATAAAAAGATAGGCGAAGAACTCAACGACAACAACAATATTGCAGGCCATCAAGCGGCAGGAGTACCAAGAGGACTCAAAAGCCTGAATTCTGGAGTTGAGCCTTTTTAACACGAAAGCGTCTAGTACATAGCCACGTATACAAGTTATATACAACCACTGATATATGTACATGTAAGACAAAAATCGCGGAACGACGAGAAATACATAGTTGAGGTCAACGACCGGGAATACACAAAGAAAGAAACTCCGAGATCAACACCAAGAGCCTAGAGAAACCTGAAACACTTCAAGAAAGCATACATACATACATTCCAGAGCGCCGGACTCCGCGCGAGGAGCATCAGAAGGAGAGCTTCAGCGATTGACGATCGCTGTTGGCGGCCACTCTTATCACAATGCACCACATTCAGTTTTCACCACACTTGCGTATTTCTTCTTAAGTCCCATATGCTTCCACCTAATTTGCCATTATACTGACATAACCTCAAACCAAATTTCGCGCATGTTTGTAGCTAACTTTTTTTATTTTTTTTTATTTATTCTTTTGGTTTTAAGTAATGAATCGAATTATTTTTAGTCCTTGATCGGAACCATCTCCCCTAATACGTACATATAGATATTTATATATTTCGCACTTGCCACAATCCATAAATAGTAATTTGATTTTTAGGTGTATACCTTGTTTTTGTTTTAAATCCCATTTGCCTTTATATTATAGGTCCGTATTTGGCGAATTCGTGAAAGAAAAAATGAAATCCAATAGTCCGGTATTTTAATTTAACTAATTTTTTTAGGTTTGATCTTATTTTTTTATTAAAAGAGGTTCGGAGGTGGTTAAATGGCGTAGTCAAGAGTGCTGGCGACCGTCCCGGAGTGAATGAATGTCACAGCGCAATCACGACATTTACCCACCTATGAATGCTCCCACTCTAGTGTACCGCCTATACTCTTGCTAGGTATTGGAAGTTTTTTTTTGTTATTCCATAATATTTGTAATTATTTATGCTAATACATAATGTATGCTTACAAATGTATATTCAGTCATACATACATACATACATATGCCTATATGCACATGTATGTACGAATAGATAGAGAGCAAGAGGTATTTTGAAATATTACTTGCAAGTTGGGCGTAGTAAATAGAGTGTATAAAGCAATAGTATACACATATGTACTTAGGTGTATATTTACATACTTATGTATCTTTCTTTTAAATTTTCGGTTCGTTTTGTATCTTTGAGATTTTTTTTCACCTGGATCTCATTTGACATTGCAAACGCGCCAAGCGTCCTATATGTTAGATAAATAGATATACTACCCTGCCCACCTTTAGTTGATACACTTCACACTTTTTGTTCATACAATCTTGAAGCAAAAATATTTCAAAGTGTGAACTAAAGGTGGGCAGGGTAGTATACATAGCCATAGATAGGTAGGAGTGAATACTTGGATTTTGTAAGTTAAGGAAACCCTAGTTCTTAGTAATTAAAGTTGTGAATAAAGTTTAGCTTAGTTAGAAACATTGATAGGTAGAAGTGAATACTTGGATTTTGTAAGTTAAGAAAAGAAGAAAAGAAGAAAGAGGA